TTTTTAACACACACGCCACTGGTTAAGAGTTCCCTAGTAAACAAAGAACTATCTTCATTCTTGTTTAATAGTAGGATGTCTCTGGTTGTGGAAAATCAAAACAATTCCTTTGCAATGCATAGGGAATTACTTGTCTAGTTATTCTGAGGTCTTTGGTATACAGCATCTACTTTAAGTTTCCTGAGGCAACGCTCCACATAATTCTTATTTATCACATTATTTCCAGAATAAACTTGATTTTAAATTGATAAATCATCATTACATGGGCATTACCAACTGAAATAAGATAAATTATCTAAAGCTATTTTTCGGAAGCACAATTTACCGTAATTTCTTCATAGTTTATTCTCTTTATATTTTCTTATAACAATGTCTAATACTGAATAAGAATAATTGCAGAATTTAATTTTATATAACAATAAATGATTTCTAGATCCCTTCATTCGTATACAAGTAATATTCTTTTTTATAGAGATAATAAATGATTAACATTTATATTTGCTTATTTTTTAAATATGTAGTAGCTTATATACAAGTTTTAAAAACTTCAGTAACATTCGGAAAATTGTTATATTAGTTACTATCTATTTAGTATTTATAATGAACAAAAGAAAAAGTTCATATATTTACAATATGTGTATTCATGGTTGCATCATTCATTAACGGTCAGCGACATCTCCCGAGTGTATTCCAGAAGTTAAAAATCAAAGTTAACGACTTCGCTTTGAGCGGTTTTTTGTTCCTTTTTGAATTATTCAAAATAGATAATAATAGCCGAGAGCCAGCCGTCAGTCTACTTGTGCGCCTCAAGGGGACAAGATGATGAACCGCCAGTGAAGAAGGGAATTGAAGGAATATAACTATATCTTAAGCCAGTGTTGTGTATTCTCATATTATTCCTAAACCTCGGTAAGTACATTTTTAATGTGCAACTTGTGCAACAAATTACCAATTTTTTCTGTAAATGGTAACCGAGTTTTCAAAATATAAATAAGTAATAATATTAAACAAAAGCATAAGGATATATATATATACTTTCAAAATTTAAAACTTACTGTGTTTAGAAGAAACTGCAATATTCCTTAAAAGGTAAAAATGGATTTTCTTCAAATAACAGCTGCAAAGTGTACTCCACTATTCCCCATTATTAAACTCTAGAGTCTAGAGTATACATCATTATATTATTATTTTTAGTTTTAAAATTTTAATACTTATATAAGTATATTTGTCTAAAATATATTTAAATCACATTTTTTAAGAGCAAAACTTATTTAAAGTAAGTTTAATAAAATATTATCTTTTTATTTTAATTTATATCGAATTTTTCAATTAATTTTAATCAAAAGTAAAGGAAATTCGCGATTATTCGTATCGACGTATCGTTTTACCACCTTTCAATATCAGACAAAAACCACATGTCTACGAGTATAACTATTAAAATTGAACACATCAGTTAATATTTTTTAATATATATATATATATA